GCGCCACCAGGGAGGGCCCCATAGTAATTTTTAAATGCCATATTTTGAACATGTTACATTAATTAAACATGTAATTACTCTGTGGAAGTCAAGCCCTAGTCTTTTAATCAATGCTATTTTTAAGCAATTGCTAAGTATTAGTAATTTTCAGCCTTTATTAAGCCAATTCTCATGAAAGCATAATTAGATGTCCAGAGATCCCCCAGCCTGCTGGGTTTTTTTAAAACCCTAGTTTAATTTTTTTTTTTTTATAGTATTACACTCACACATAGTTACATAGTGAGGAAAATAACTACAATGCCAGGATGTGTTAATGACATTTTTTTTATAATGCTATAATGCCAGTGTTTTCACTGTAGCAATATTTAAAGATTTAAACCACCTTTTAACAGATTATTGAAATTTTGGTCTTATAAGCTTGAGCCTGGTGATCTTTCTTATTAACAGATTAACATTTTCACTTATTGGGGTCTCTGTTGGTGCAAGGGTTAAAGTCTAAGTGCTGTCAAGCTATTGCCAGCCACTGGGACATAAACTCAATCCCTGACTTGAGTTATATCCCTAGCCTGGAAGCTAACCCAGGCTTTCTGTCTTGCCTTTTCTGCTCCCTACTCTGTTGTTGGTGAATCCTCTCACCTCCACACTCTGGCCTACACCCCAGTTCTTTTGTGTGTAAATAAATGGAAAAAAAAAACTTTAAAAATTTTTCACAAACTATTTTCTTAATTTGTAGCTGTCCCTCATATTTTTCCTTCAATATTTTTCCTTATATCTAAGTTTCTGTTTCCCTTTTTCCTAGTCTTTCTGTGAAGCTGCTAAATTCATACATTATCAATTTTCTTTAACTATATCCTTAGGCAAGTGATTTTGAACTCTGATTCCTAGCTAAATTCAAGCTCTAAATATTTCTTAGTGAAACACATATTCAAGGCATGGGATCTAGTTATCCTATAGTTTGTGGGAGGACAGGTACTAGAAGCAACATTTAAGGGAAAATGTCCTCCCTGGCCTATAGGACTGGTAATCAAACTTGGAAGATCTCCCTCAGTTTTTTCCTTCCCTCCTTCCATCCCTTCCTCCCTCCCTCCCTCTTTCTCTCCCTTCCTCTCTCCCTCCCTCCCTTCTTCCCTAACTACCTCCTTCCCTCTCTCCCTCCCTCAATTAGGAGATTTAAAGTTTAATAAAGATCAGAATGATTTATTTGAAACTGACTGCTGAGAACCATCTTCAGTGACTTTAGAAATTATCTAAGTTTTTTGTTAATTCACAGTGACTTTTGCTGATCTGAAAATGTATAAATTTATACTACTAAATCATACAGGGCATACTAAAAAGAAATTGCCTTAATTAAAAAAATATATAATTTTAAGAAAGCAGACTGTTCTTGCCTCCCACTATTAAGGTTGAAGCCAGCAATGGAGATTGAAGAATGTGAGCATTGAGGGCATCATAAACAAAAGGTGACAGTGGCGGGGGAATGGGCAAGAGATAAGATAGAAAAGAGAGTCAGATTAAAAGGTACAGGGTGGAAACATAAACAGAAAAAGAGGGAGGGGGGCGGGAAGAAAGGAAGATGACTATAACCATTGAAGTATGTCACATATGCTTCCAGTGTTTGAATCTACTTATTTATACTACAAGAGAACCTTTAAAACATTAAATTTACCATGGATGGAAGAAGGTGAGCAAGGAAGGGAATTTTTTAAGGTGTGTTAAATCTTTATCTTAAGAACACTAAAAATATAAAACTGTCAATTTTTTCAAAATAGTGATAATTTGAGTCACATTACAATGGACCACTGTTCTTAGTACTTACATAAATTGATTCTTTTAAACCTCACCACAATTGTATAAGTGGATAGTATTTCTCCCGTTTTACAGATGCTAAAACTGAGTCACAAAGAATAAGTTATTTGCCTAGGCTAGTCAGATAACAGAGCCAGGATTCCACTGAGACAATCTGACTACTATGCTACAACTGGCTTCATCACCTCTTCCTACCCCTCTCCATGATTTGTATGGTGTATTTCTGTAGAAATTTGTCTTATTTTGAAAATGTCATATTCCTTGAAATAGTTTTATATCTGCCAGTGTGACAAATTCTGGACATTATTTGAAAGTCAGTTTTTCTTCCCTTTAGTTATAGTAATTTGAGAAGTTTATTAAACTAGGTTCCAGAACACAGATGGATATTGCATGATCCCTAGCCCTAGTAGATTAATCTCAGTTTGTAATTGGCCACTGGTATCAACTGAATGAGTTCTTTGGCTTATAACGAAGTTTATATATGCCAGTGATTGTTGCCTTCAGAGATATACTCATTTTAAAGTTTACCAACTGATAAGATTGCCATTCCTCAAAATTTTGTAGTTCTTTTCTTCTTAATAAACCACACAACTTCTCATGAAAATTGCTTACCTACTTAGTCATCCTTAAAATTAAAGCCTCACATAGATATTCACAAAGTATTTATCTAAAAAGATGTTTTGTTTTGTTTTGTTTTTACAGCCCTGATGGAGTAAAATGTTTGCAGGCTGTAGAGGAGGAAAATGTGAATGGAGTTAGTGGATTTCACCAGGAACTTTGGAAGAGTGTTGGGTATTAGTGTTGCACTGGAGGAGGGTGAGAATTGAGCCCTATTTAGAGGGAACAGAAAGAATTCTCTGAGAAGTGTGGGTAAATAAACCAGGAATCTACCCTGAATATAATTATTTAGTTCCCTCAATTCTTAATTTTTTTAATTATTTAGAATCTTAGAAGCATTGACTATATGCATACTTTGTTTCCATTGGCACTATTTTCTAAGGAGAAACACTATTATAATGTATTTTTTTATATTAAGATTTACTGCTCCTGTTACTATTGGAAACCTTAAAGAGATGGAGCTATGACTGGAAAGCCTATAAACTTTTACCAAGAAAAACTTACTGGAAGTTTTATAGTGTGTGTGTGTGTGTGTGTGTGTGTGTGTGTGTGTGTGTGTGTGTGTGTGTGTGTGTGTGTAAAAGAGAAATCTTGGATTATCTAGCAGTTTGGAAGGAAGATTGTGTTAAATTTATTGTAATTTGACTTGTTTTATGGGAGATTATGGGAAAATAGGGACTATCTTCATTTTTATATATTTTATTTTTTTTAACTGTTTCTTGCATATTTTACCTTTGTATTGACTCTTAGATACTATGGCATTAGCATACTTTGAGTTAATAATGGTACTTTTTAATATAGATTATCCACATAAACATTCAGCAAATAACAGCAGGTGAACTATTGAACCATTCTAGGTAGTGGGAATTAGAATGAATAATTCAGCCTGTGTTCAAGCTGCTTCTACACTGGTGGCACAGACAAAATTAAGAAGCCACTAGTTGGAACCAGTGTTAGTACTTTGATAGAGGGGTGCTCGTTTTCCTCTGGAGGGGAGGCATTTTCTCTAAGCAATTTTACATTCAGAGGAATTGATCTTTGAGTTAAATCTTTAAAATAGAAAAGGGATTAGACAAATTTGGTAGCATTGGTAAGAAATTTTAACTGGAAAAAATAACTGAAAGGAAATACTGTCATTCTCAGTCACTTTATATTTCTACATCTCAGAAAATCCCTAGCTCTGGGTGACTGCTATTTAACTGATAATTCAAGAATATTAACTAGTTTTGATACTAAATCTAATTAAGAAATAACTGGTTTATTCTAAATCTAAGAAAGTTAATATAAAAGTTAAATTTTATTCTAAACATTCTTACTTTGTAAAATTTCCCCTATTAGAGTTCTGATTTTTAAAGATGAAAATAAGTTAAAAGTCCAACTTGAAATTATTCACTTTTAAGGTAATATTCCTGGTTGTTTGGAACCAAATTCACCCTTAGGTCTATTTTTAAAAGATTTACACAACAGGAAGAGAACTTCTTGAAGTTATACTTACTGCATTTATTTATCTGCAAATGCAGGTGGACTATATTAGGCCTCTATTTAAAATTCAATGATTAAATTTCATGTCTTGGCAAAAATGTTAAAATCTGGTTTAAAAGTTTTCAAAGAAGGTCCACCCTCCCTATATCAGAAATTTCTCTTTATATTAATGACCCAGATCTTGTGGCTTGATATATGCCTTCTGCTCATCTAGTCCCTCTTTTCTGATGTTATTTCTGCTTCGTGATTGGTGACCTCTAAAATAAAGTGAAACTCGGGTGTTTGTCTCTTGAAAAATAATGTACCTGAATCTTGATACTTAGAAATTATCTTTCAATGAGAAATGTCCTATGTCCTATTTTCTGAGTTAGCAGAACATCTGTTCAAATTATTGAATTTAAGATATGCCTGTTTTCTGAGTTAGCAAATACTTGGTTTATTTATTTTTTGAGTAAATATTTGCAGAAAATTGATTTTTCTCTGTCTTAGTGTCTTGTCTGTGTTCTTGTACTTTTAGGCCAAGAACTTAACTTACTAAAACTTTTAAAATATTCTAATTTATTGACCTTTTTTTTTTTTGACAGTTTTTATTCTATTACTTTATCTTAAATATAATTACATATTGTTTATTTTTGGGAGATTTAAAGCTAATTTTAATACTGCTGATATTAGGGAACAGTTTCATACTCTAAATTATTTTCCCCCTTTGTGGGTTATTTTTCACTCTTAAGTAATAATGTGTAGCTGTTTGCCACAAATGAACCTATAGTTAAATTAAAAACTCTAGAAAGTGGTGACTGCTTAAAAAAGAGGGAAGATCTGAGTATGCAGTGGCTTCACTATTTTGCCTGATTCCACAATGTACATTAATAATTACTTTATCTTCATTAGCTAAAGTGTCTTTTCCCTTTAGTGTTCAACTTTCAAAAATATAAGACAGATTTTATTTGTTTTATTTAATAACTTTATTATTAAAACATCAGTATTATCATAGTCCAGCTTGTATTTTGTACTATTAATATTACATCCTTCCCTTAGTAGAAGAGTTATCCAAAGTTTGTTTTAAAATCACCCAATTTTTATCTTTTCTATAGATAATATCGCCTACTGCATTATTTTTGGCTGCAAAAGTGGAAGAACAGGCCCGAAAACTTGAACATGTTATCAAAGTAGCACATGCTTGTCTTCATCCTCTAGAACCACTGCTGGATACTAAATGCGATGTATGTAAAAATTGGATTTTTTTCTTTTTTCTTTTTTTTTTTGTTTTTTTTTCTTTCTAATTTTAATATCTTTTCATTATTTATATAATTGTGCATGTGTTTTACATGTAATTTGAATGTCATTCTGAATCAAGACTTTGATCATAGGTAAATAGGTAAATATGTTGGTTTTTACCCTCCTAGCAAAACTAGTATATGTAGAGAGTAAGTCACCATATCACCTCCACCTCAGTACATTTGAGACCAAAGATAAATAACTTTCTTAATCAATTTGTCAGCAAATGATAGGAAAACCTCTGAATTTACCCTTAGATAAGGATTTGGTCTTTTTACAAAATTTTGTCTATACATTATATGTACTACTACTTAACTCTGTGATACATAAAAAGTAATGCTAGTTTCCAAATAATTTATTCTTCATCAACATTAATCGATTTTGTTTGAAGGCATCATTTAAGAATATGCTATTAAAGCAAAAACTAGAATTCTGAAACTTCAGAATTGTTCTTTTAGAATTCTTACATATTAATTAATGAGGAACTTGTAACTGCTAAGTAACTATTAGATATATCATTTTGATTTAGATTAAGTTTTAAGGCCTAGGTTAAGCATATCTTAATAATAGCAACTTTTATACTAAATGATGGCTATGAGGGAGTTAAGTATAACCACTCAATAATAGAGAATGTGTGGTTATTCAGAGTTAGTTTTGATAGTTTATATTAACCTATTGACTTTTTAAAATCATAATTATTTCTTGTGAATATAAAGTATTCAAATAATAGAAAGTGTCTAAAAAATAGGCTCAGTGACCTCATGATCGAGCATACATAAAATAAAAGCTGCTTATACTTTGTATTTAGCAGTATGTCCTTACATAAGTGTATATAGTTTTGTGTTACTTTTTTTTTTAACCATCTTAGTCAAATGTCATAATCAAAAAATTGGTAGACATTGTTTCATGACCTTTATGCCTAAGTAATTGTAGCAGGGGAATGAGGGGAAGTTGATGAGAAAGGTATTCTGTGTCCCCACAAGAATCTTACTTGGTATTTCATAGAACATTAAGAACAGGAAGTACCATTGCCTAGGTAAAGTATTATATTACAAACTGGAAAACTTGCTCCCTCCTCCCCCCCAACCTATCCCTTATATTGTCATTACCATTAGGTTGTTTGGAAGTTTGCTTTGTTTACATTTTCTATATTAAAAGTAATTCCTTTTAAACTTACTATAGACAGGTTTTCTCTATCACCCTCTTACCATTTTATTTCCTTCTTACTTCCAGACTACTGTGGTTCTTTCATAGTCTTAATTCTCATAAGATTTGATTGTCTTGTAGTGTTAGTAGTATTGTGTTTATCGTAAGTAGTTTAATCTTATTATCTTTTCCTGCCAGGCTTACCTTCAACAGACTCAAGAACTGGTTTTACTTGAAACCATAATGCTACAAACCCTAGGTACGTATGTCACATATTTTTGTGTGTTCTTAAAATGCAGTATTCTAAATAAAGGATTTCTGGAATTATTTATCATTGAAAAAGTTTAGTTAACACAAGGTTTTAGAGTAACACTGCCTGGTTATAAGGAAACTTTTCATTAAAAAATATAATGTAATTTGGCATGATTTCATTGAATGGTGAACATAATCTTCAGTGTGATTTCTTAGATATTTTTTAGGTAGTTGAGATACTTATTGTACTTCATTCTGGATTTGCATTGGAGATAAACTGGTACCTTAGGGTTGTTACATAGAATTCTATACAGATGCACAGTGTAGTCCTTATTCTCCAAGCTTATACTTAGTAATTCGTTAATATATTTCATTTAAAGGGAAACTTTAGATTTACAGGATATACCTCTGAGTTTCTTTAAAGGGTTATTTTGTAAACTTAATTATATTCAAAATGTAAATAGGCCACACAATAATATTATGAATCCAGTTTATTAGGATGTTAGTCATTTACTGCTTGTGGAGGTGTTAGGTATGAACTCCTACTTTTTTAAAAGGGAGGGTGTTGATTGGATTTTGAAAGTTTTTCAACATTACATCTTTGGCTTTAGAGTAATTTTATTTATACATACAGAACTGGGGTACAGGCCAGAGGTATGGTGGTAAAAGGATTCACCAGAGACAGAGTGGGAAGCAGAACAGGCAGATTGATGAAGTACGTTGCTGAGGGGAGCAGTGGGTAGATTAGGAGAGGTCTGCCATGCCATGTGGGTCACCTTGGTTGGGGAACGAACTCGTGCAGCAGTGGCTGCGATAGCTTCATAGTGTTGTGTTTTAACCCGTTACGCCACCAGGGAGGGCCCTAGAAAGAGTACTTAAATGAATCTTGATACCTACAAGTTTCATTTTTCTTTAACAGTTTTATTAATAAAATAAAGTTATAAGCTAACTCATCAAACCATTTGACCTAAGGCATACTGGGAAAATAATAGGATCATGTCATTTTAAAAATAGTTTCTAACACTGTGACACCAAAAGTTATGTTTATGAAAAGTGTTCTTTGTTGGCCTTCTAAAATAAAGTTGTTGTACATATAGGAAATACATAATTGAGTTATTCCCTCCAAGTTTAATAATTTTCATGATTTTGATTTGTTTTTAACTTGAAAATAATCTCTATAACTGACAATTTTGAAAAAATTAATCCCCTTGTCTGTAAATTACTATTTTCATAATTAGAATATTGTTTTTGAAATTATTTCCCATCATTGGGGGTACAGTGAACATTATTAGTGGTGAGAAATTCTAGCTTTGTTCTTAAAAATATTTTAATGGAAAATAACTTAGACATTTACAGTTATGTGATGAAGGGCATTTTTCAGCAGGTATCATAATGGTAAGTGACTGGGGAAAAAAAGTGCTTTTCATTTCAGGTTTTGAGATCACCATTGAACACCCACACACAGATGTGGTGAAATGTACCCAGTTAGTAAGAGGTAAGTGATCTTTGAAACTTGGTAAATTAAATATTAAGGCTTTTTAGTGTCTATAATTCATTTGAATGCTATTTTGTTCAAGTCTTGCATTCTATTTTAAATGTAAGAAATGTTATTTTAGAGCATTGTTTTTTAGTATCTACCTACCTACTTTTATTTGTGGCTCTACCTGGTGAATTAACTTCCTGTTAATTTAGGTGTGCATCTCATTTTTCTAAAAAATTGGAGAGCTTCCAGGTATTAGGACTATCCTCTTTCCTACTAGTCTATGCCAGTCCCATTTCATTTAAGGTTTAAAATGTGAGCAATTAACAAATATATACAGAAATAATAATTTCTGTTTTATGTCAAACTTTCATTAACTACTTGAAAAGTAATTACAATAGTTTAAGAATTTGAACACCAACTTTAAATATTTCAGGTAAAATATTGTCTTTTGGGGAAATATTTTGTCCACAAACATTTATTAAAAATGGTTTCCTTTTGTATTACTGGGAAATAACTATACATCATGATATATTTATGTGATGTAGCTATTAAATCTTTCATACACAGGAGTAGTAAGTTTTGTATTACTTGCTTTTTACTGCTTATAAAGCATGTGGTACACATTTTTCTACTCCTCTTAATGAATCTGTATATCTGTTCTTGTATCCCTAGAAATGTGTTTTTACACAGTTGCATGTTATACTACTGCATAATTCTACTTTCCTGTTTCCCATTTGGAGTGTTATATACTAATGGTAACCACTTAGAATTGGTAGTGTATCTTTTTCTGTTACTTTCTTTTTGAAAAGGAAATTTTATAGTTTCATCAAAATTCTATAGATTTATTCTCAACAAAATGAATAACACTTTTGAAGGCTTTGGATTTGTGTGTGTGTGCGTGTGTTTAAATATTCTCATTTTATTCATTCTAAATTGAATTTATTATTTCCTAAGTAGAATTTTTATTGTTAACAGCTACATTAAAAAAAATAAACTGTTGTCTCATACTATAGTACCATCATTCAGAATTGGACTTCTAAAATTCCATTTAATTTTTTTGACCCTAAGATAACACGTTACCTATTGTAAACTAGAACATTTAATTATGGTTCCTGTTCTTCATGGTAATGTGAATATATTTTATGGGATATTCTTACCCCCTGGTATTACAGTGTAGTATAGAAGTGTGTAGTATAAATGTTGTATAGTATCAATGTTGAACTAAGGTGGGGGAAACTTTAGTATAGTTTTGTTTTCTTGAAAGGGTATTTACCTGAATAATGCATAGACATATAATTTGCTCTAAAACTGATCTTGATGAAGGATATTGAAGAGTAATATATATACATACTTAATAGTAATTGAAACAGATTTTTAGGCTTAGTACTTCAAAATTTAAATCAGCTTCTTTTAAGCCCTTTTTCAAAATTTTATATTTTTGTATATGTTCTCTTATCTAAAGAATCTGAAGACATCATCAGTTCTTTTGCAAAGTTGAATAAGTTTTAAAGTATCTACAGAACCTACAAATTTGATCTTATCATCCAGGCAAAAATATTTAAATTGATTTTTTGTTGTTAATGTTTGTAATGTGACCAATTCTTAAATTTTAACTCAAATCATATATGTGTTTAACTTGACCATGACTTACTAATATTTCAGATAACTATAGCTTACCTCTCACTCTTTTTAAAATAATGTTCTTTCACGTTTGGTGTCTTTCTTTGCTCTATTACAATTTTCAGCTAACAAAACATTCCCTACATTATTCCTCTTGCACAATGGCTGTTATTAGGTTATTGGATTTAGATACATTTGCTATGGCAATGTAAAATTTTACTTCTATACATATTTTGATTCTTTTGGGGGGAGAATTAATAAACTTGATTCTGTTAAGGCCCTCCACGTATTCAGAAAATGGAGGTGAGAAAGTTGGTCTGATGCTATTTTGCTACAGAATTGGCTAATAAGATTTTATAGGGATCTTTCACGTCTGTGATTTCTCCTTCCCTCCTCACTAGGAAAGAAATGCCATATTAAAGTCACTCTGCCTCCAAGACATCCGATAAGATGCTTTGACACACTTCCATAGCACAACTCTGCTAAGCCCAAATCCTTTTTATATATCTTATGTTGATGATCCACATTAGGCAGCAGGGATTACAGGTGCCATAAATAAAAATAGGAGTGGGGAAGGAACTTGAGGCTTATTAGAGAGGGGTGGAGTTTAAGTGATCTGATCCTTGTTGAGCCAGGGGAAGATATATCAATAATCATTAATGTTATTTGAAAAAAAGGAAACTATAGCTCAGGTATTCCTGCTGGGAAGGATAAGAAGCAGAAGGGAATTAGGGGACAGTTTTTAATGTCTTAAGATAGTAAAAATTGCTTTTTTATTGATAACTAGTATGGAAGCATCTTGATGCCCCCTAGAATACCTGCATTTCTTCTTGGTGTCTTTAATTGGATTATGTAACCAAAAAATACAGTGGAGTTTCATACATCTTATTTCTTTAGGTTATGTATTCTGTGTTGATGCTTAGTAACATGAAAAACTGAGCAGTTTATGCTCTGTGTATGGGGGGGTGGTTTGTTTTGATGACATACTTAAGACAATTTAAATATGTTGATTGAGGGTTAAGTCTGGCAGGCAACTCTGTATTTTGTATTAGACTTCAAAAATCTTTTCTTCTTCTTCTTCTTTTTTTTTTTTAAATCCAGGAGAATGCTTTATTGCAACTTTTAGCTGACTAGATGCTTAACTTAGTAACAAGTTTAGCCCTTGTAACTGGCTAGCTAAAAGCAAATCGGCTTGTTTCTCAGATCTTTGGGGGATAGCAAGAAACATTTGAGTGAATGTTGTTGAAGATTTTCAGTAGTATAGAAAATGATGGCGCTCTTGTGATATTTGTAAGTAGTAAGTAAAATTTACTTTTTGTGTACATATCTTTGAAGTTTTTGTTATGTTGAGAACTTTTTGTTATTAGCATGTCAAAGCTGATAGTGTTGTCTTTGTTTTTTTTTTTTTTTTTTCTTTTCTTTTCTTACAGCAAGCAAGGATTTGGCACAGACATCCTATTTCATGGCTACCAACAGGTTGTTATCCTGACCCTCTTTGTTGCACTGTTGTAGCACACTATAGCTTCCTTTAATGCAGGGCCCCCTCAATGTGTCTCTTACCCTTGTTGCAACAGGAGACTGGACCATCTACTGTGGTGGTACCTTCCTGTCTGCTTTGCGGTGTATTGTACAAGGGACTTTTGGCACAGAGGGGTTAAATGCACAATGTGAAGTGTAGTGGTGCTTTCTGATGACATATTCTCGATATGTGAGTGCATAAGTCTAAAATTGGTAGCCTGAATAGCAGCTAAAGATTACAAAGAGCTAAACTTAACGTAGAAATTCGAGCAACTTGGTAAGTATAAAGCTATTTCAAGTTTACAATTATAGTTAAATGACAATTTTCTTAAGTTTCACATTGATCCAGTCTTAATTTTAAAATAATCTAAAGTTTTTAATAAATAAAATTTCTGTAACTTGGGGGTTTTTTTGTTTTGTTTTTTCCAGAAAATGCCCATTAGTAATAAAGTCCTGTGACTGTCTGGATTTGCATAAATACAATTTTTACTTAAAAAAAAAATTCCTTTTAAGTTTATATTAAGAAAATTGGTGTGGACTTTGGTTGACTAGTAAATATTTTCAGATTCTGAAACTGATTTGAAATAGATTTTATAAAGGCTTTAATAATCTAATATGTGGTTTTGTTCTGGGCTGATTCTGTTAAATTTGTTTTTTAAATGTTTTCATTGGGGGAGGAAGGACCAAGCCAGATTTGTGTGGTCCTTAATTTCATGTGACATGTCAAGTTTTACTTTATATTTGGATTGGCAGATACCAATGTATTATCTTATGTATGTGTAGTTGGGATTTAACCTCTATTGCCAGAAATTCTGAGCAAATAAGCAACAAAACAAACTTAAATCTTTGGCTAGAAAGGCTAGCTGTAACATATTTATTGCATATCCATTTTTGGCATATAATGGAAGAAGAACGGTAGTGTTTTAGTACCTAGTAGTACTTAGCACTTTAGTACTTAGTAGTACTTAGCAACATTGAACATTGATGCTGTTCAACAAAAGGTAAGTTTTTCCTGTGGCTTTGCTATAAAAAAAAATAGGATTACTTAGATAAGTGTTGAATTCTTTTTAACTTATGAGAATTACTGGATTGTCAGAAGAGTATGATGCATTTTTGCATAGAAAATATGTTATGTTTCCAACAAATCCAGTGACTTTGTTGAGCCACATAAAATGGTATACCTGATTATAATGTAATGCTAAAATTACTGTCAGTTTACTTTTTGCCCTGACATTACAAAAGAAACAAAAAATACTACAAAAATTAAATTGTTATCTGTGTATATTTATGGGAAAATATACCATCTTCCATTCTGTTATAAAGAAATAAAAATACTTTTAACTTAGTTGATACTGATATCAGTTTTGATAAAATATTAATATAATCTAGAGTGACAGTGTGGTGAATGTTCATTATCTGCATACTTTTTAGTTTATTTTTTATAGTAGTTTTATTTTTTATAGTATTATATAGCATATATTAAAAATTTTGTAGATTAGTTTTTAATTTAGCAAAATAAATTTTGTACTCTAAATTTTAAAAGGTATCTTTATAATTACATTTTGCTCTAATCTTACTGGTAAATGTTTTTCTTTGTTTTACATATTTGAATTTCTATGGCTCTTCATTTTCACACCTGCTCCACAACAGTCTACATCTTACAACCTTCTGTCTTCAGTACAAACCAACAGTGATAGCATGTGTGTGCATTCATTTGGCTTGCAAATGGTCCAATTGGGAGATTCCTGTGTCAACTGATGGAAAACATTGGTGGGAATATGTGGATCCTACAGTTACTCTAGAATTACTAGATGGTAAGTAAAGAAAATTATCTTTTCACATTAAGCAACACTTCTTTTTACACTAGAAAAATCTATCTACATCTGTATAAGTTTGAAAAATAGTGAATTCCCATTTACTCATTGTTCTATGGAATACTCATAAATTCTGGCCAGTTAATATATCTCTGTCCTTGCCCTTTTGGTGATTTTGTTGCTAGTTCCAGATACCATTTCGTTTACCAGTATTTCAGTTTATATTTCAAAAGATAAAGACTTTAAAAAGGCTCTCCCTGGTGGTGCAGTGGCTTAAAGCACAGCACTGCAAGCTAGCTGCAACTGCTTCAGTGCGAGGTGATCCACATGGTGCGGCAGATGTGTCTCTCTCCTGTCTTACTTGCTGCTCTCCTCAGCAGGTGTACTTGGTCAGTCTGCCTGTTCTGCTCCCTACTCTGTCTCTGGTGAATCCTCTCACCGCCCCTGCACCTCTGGCCTGTACCCCAGTTCAGGGGTAAATAAATAAATCTTTTTTTTTAATACTTTTAAAATATGATTATAATTGTTTCAACTGTTTGAAGAAAGAATTTAGAAGCGTAGGTATATGAACAAATAACAGTATGATGATAAGGATTCATTAGCATAAAGAGGAAAAATAAAAGTTGAATATGCATTAGCCACCAGTACACCTAAAACTTTTTCATTACTTTTCAAGGAAATACGATTTATTTTGCTATGAGTACACTAATTTTGTTGGGTTTCAGATGTTTAGACTAAAAGTTGGGTATTTATCCATTGTAGAAAATGAAGAATGAGCTGGAAGTGTTTTCATGTTAATGCTATTTTCTCTTCTTTGCTGTGATGCCAAAATACCATTATGACCTTTCATCCTTAAATATTTAGAAGGAAATTTGGAGGTTCCAGGTTCTATAGTTTATGAACCTGGAATTTGGAGGTCTCCTGATAAGAAAATTGTGTGGTTGAGAAGTTAAGAGAAGCTGTCCAACGGTAGGAGATTTTGGGAATTGAAACATTTTAACCAGAGCTATAGATTTAAGAAAAGAAATAGGTGATACCTCTTTCCTAGTAGATAAGCCTAAACTAATATTTTAGGTTTTTAACCTATTCTTTTTCTGGTCATTTTTCAGTCCTTTATCAAATTTAAGTTAATGAGAAAATAGGATTTATTTCTGTTGCTGCCTAAGACATCTTTACATAAAGTGAGAGAACCTTATGGCAATGGAATGATGTCTTCCAGTAAAATTTTAGATGTTTAAAAGGATCTGTAACCCTTAAACTGTTTTAAAATGTGTGAACTATAATTTTTAGTGTACCTTTTTAACTGCCACTGTTACTGGAAAGTAGCCTTAGGTGACTTGTAGATAAATGGGTGTGGCTGTATTCCAGTAAAAAATAACTTTAACAAGTAGGATTTAGACCATATTTGGGCCATTGGCCAATTTGTCGCCCTTTTTGATAAAATGCTTTTTTGATAGATCTCTTTTTTGGGGTTTCTTTTCTCTGAAAAAAATTATCCCAGACTACATATTGATATATCAGAGTACTGCTATATAATTAAGCTCTTTTCCTATAATGTCAAAGGTAGTATTTTTTGGCAGGGGGATGGGTTAATCCTTTTAGAAGTCTGATAAGCTACTGGATAAAGTGAGCAAGTTTTCTTTAAAAAAAAAACAAAACTCATTTTATGTGCAGCTGTGTCAAATTCGATGCCTGCCCCACCATGGCAGACATGGGCCCAAAAGGCTGCTACAGTAATACTGTGACTCATGGGCCCTGATTCTCCTCTTCTGGGCCTCAGGGATAAATTTGGTTACAGACACCAACAACAACAAAAAATATTTGTATTGTTATAACACCATTTGATTTTGCAATATAGATTTACGTCTCATAAACAGTGTGTATAACCATAAACAGTATGCTATACCAAAGGCTCCCATAATCATCCAGCATAGTCCATTGGGTTTCTATCACCAACCCTCTCCCTCTGATAGACTTAACTTTGCAATCAGATTTCTAGGCTTGTTTGGGTTTGTGTGTTCCTTTGTTTCTTTATATTCCACATATGAATGAAATTATCTTTTATGTCCAGGTTTTTTTTAAAGCATATCCAGAGGGAAAGATATCTATGAATTTAAATTGTATCTTTTAAATATTAATGTGGCAGCTTTTTTACATTTGTAACTTAAAAGTTAGGTTATCTACAACACATTTTTACCAGTCAGATAAAGCAGGAATAATTATAATAAAAATAGTTTATACAAATGGCAATAAAGTCTGCAAAAAGCAAGTAATCTGTCTTATATACAGCTTTTAGGCTATAGGTAAGTTATTATGATTTTTTGTTTACACAACAGGGGGATTGTCTACATATCCCTACTTCACCATTCTGAAAATGTTCCAGTTCATTATTGCAAAACCATTGGAAACAACGCACTAAAAACTTTACAAATATGTGAGAGCCCCTTCTCAATTTTGATCACAAAAATAACAAAATTTAAACTATTGAGATGTATCTGAATTTAACATGACATCTGAGGCCTTAGTATTTATTGCAATAATTCATTTAAAGGGCTGTTCCAAAACCAACATTGACTGGACATGGTTTTATTATTTTATTTTATTTTGTAGAATTGTTTTAGAGATTTATTTATTTATTTACACACACACACACACACACACATACATACATACATACATACATACATACACACGCACACACACAGAACTGGGGTACAGGCCAGAGGTGCAGGGATGGTGTGAGGCTTCACCAGAGACAGAGTAGGAAGCAGAACAGGCAGATCACAAAGTGCACTGCTGAGGGGAGCAGCAGGTAAGTCAGGAGAGGTCTGCCATGCCATGTGGATATCCTCCAGGGCTGGGAATCAAAGTCACACTGAAGCGGCAGCAGCTAGCTTGCAGTGCTGCATCCTAACCCATTGCACCACCAGGGAGGGCCCAGAATTTTTTTTTTTTAGCAATTAATAGCAAGCCCTCATTTGTTTTTGGTTTGTTTGTTGTTTGTTTTTTTTGGCCTTCTGAATAGTATACTCTGATACTTGTGCATGCGATTTATTATTTACAATGTGTGACTATTTCACAGATAATTTTGTACCTCGTATAAAATATAATTGTGTGGGATATTTAAGAAAGTAAAATAAAGCTTGCAATTATGCTTGATACATTCCAGGTTTTAAACCAGAACTCTGTGCATGTAATCTTTGACAACCAAATTGGTAAAGAAGTGAAGTTAAAACAATTTCTTGTTAATATTGCCCAAAAGTATTATGTGTCTGCTAGATTTACTAGTGTCTATTTGGAAAAGTGATATCTTTTCAATATGAACAAATGGGTATTGGATTTAGTTATCATAGCTTGTGAACATACAGTGATGCCCAGTTTTTGCATGTTCTTTGCTGCATTGAGACAAATTCTATATTGTCTTAATATAGACAATATATGTCTTAGCATTTCCCTCGTATAGTTTATAAGAGGGACTGTTCCTGCTAGAAATTAGTGACTCAGCCTCTATAATTTATATTGACATTGGTTCCTTCCAATATTGTGGCTAAATTGGTATTAATATTTATTGATATTATAATTCCTTTGACTAATTTTAGTATTTTTTTCTGAGTGGCCTTTAACTTTATTAATGACACTATTTTGGGGTATAAGTCTATGTAATCATCATCAGACCACTTTAGAAAAGTGGGTTATCTTTCATCCTATATTTAAGAAAAAACTAGTATAAAAGTATGACCAGGGTAATTTACTAATGTTAGTGGTGTGGTGTGTTGATTGCTAGGAAGCAATGAGTAGAAGTGGAAGAATTTTTTTTCCCTTTAACTTTGAAATAATTTTAAACTTAAAACAATTGTGAAGTAGTACAGAATTCCATAACCTAATTTCTCTGGTGTTAACATTGTGTGTGTGTGTAATACCAAAAGCAAAAAATTGATATTAGTATAATACTAGTAAGTAAACTACAGATTGGAATTTTCTCAGTTTTTATGTAACAGGAGATTGCATCCATTTGGATGACATGCCCCTTTAATCTCTCTTTAGTCTATGTGAAGGTTTTCTTTTATGACCTTGACAATTTGAAGAAAATAGTTATTTTATAGAATGCTCCTTTTATTGGAGTTTGTCTGTTGTTTTCTGACTGCTAGATAGAAGCCTTGTATTTTGAGCAGGAGGAATATCACAGAATGGGGGTGTGCGCTACTCAAGGGGGGCATATCATGTCTTAATGCTATTAAACATGGTCACATGATTAAGTGCTGGTTTCTCCATTGTAAAGTTTACTATTTTCTTTTTGTAATTAATAATTATCGTGAGATAAACAGGCATTTAACTTTGAAATAATTTTAATCTTAATATATATTACGTTATATATATTATAATTATATGTACACGTGTGATAAAGTCTTCAGAAAGGAAAGATTATACAAATAATCCTTTTCATTTAATAGAATATCCTCATCTGCTCACTAATTAAAGAGTATCTTGATGCTTCTTGACCACAACAGATTTTTGTTATTGTTGTTGTTGTTGTTGTTGAACAACAGTTAACGATATGATATTTGGCTTGGAGATTTTTTTTTTTGAGGGCAGTTTTTTTCAATGCTATTAAATTTTCAAGAGATTCTGAGTAAGAATGTAAAATTGGGACACAGGAAATGTGATTTTTTTCTTTTAAAAGACATCTTTGAAAATATCAGTTCAGAATTTTGTTTGTACTAAAAGTTATATAGGAACATATGTAATAGTGAAATAGATGAATATTAGAGGTTACTTTGTAATACAACCCACTTGAGAGAAATTTAAATTAAAAAGGCACCTTCTAAGTCTTAAATTTAAATTTTTTTTAGAGCTAACACATGAGTTTCTACAAATATTGGAGAAAACACCTAGTAGGTTGAAGAGGATTCGAAACTGGAGGGTAAGAGAATTGATAGGGTTTAATAGAATATCAGATTATCTGCATGTAATAATTATATTATTACAAATATAGTTGATTTTTGATCAAATATTATCTCCAATATTTTTAAATAATTACAGTATATCATAAACTAATTAACTCAGTTTATTCAACTATGTCCAGTGGATTTAGCTAAACAGTTTATAATTTTCTTAAGTGTCACAGAATTATGATGGAAATAATCTCCTTATTTTACAAATTTGGAAATTAAAGCCTGGACAAGTTAAATTACTTTCTCAGATGTTAGCTGCAGTTTAACCTTTATCTATTTTAAAGCCAATGCTTTCAACTTCTGATAGCATTATGTTATGCTTCTAAATAATAATTATTGGCGTAATAATCTTGGACCCTAGGTGACTTTTTTTTCATATATTTAATATAGAATTTTTATAAGCAGAAAAATTTGTATTAAGTTCCTTTGCTGTCATTGCTTTTGTGTGTGTGTTTTATTTAAATAGGCTAATCAGGCGGCTAAGAAACCAAAAGTAGACGGACAAGTATCAGAGACGCCACTTCTTGGTTCATCTTTGGTCCAGAATTCCATTTTAGTAGATAGTGTTACTGGTGTGCCGACAAACCCAAGTTTTCAGAAACCATCTACATCAGCATTTCCTGCACCAGTACCTCTAAATTCAGGAAATATTTCTGTTCAAGACAGCCATACATCTGATAACTTGTCAGTGCTAGCAACAGGAATGCCAAGTACCTCATACAATTTGTCATCACACCAAGAATGGCCTCAGCATCAAGAATCAGCAAGGACAGAACAGATATATTCCCAGAAACAGGAGACATCTTTGTCTGGTAGCCAGTACAACCTCAACTTTCAGCAGGGACCTTCTATATCACTGCATTCAGGATTACATCACAGACCTGACAAAATTTCTGAACACTCTTCTGTTAAGCAAGAATATACTCATAAAACAGGGGGCAGTAAACACCATGGGCCAATTTCTACTACTACTGGAGTGATTCCTCAAAAAATGTCTTTAGATAAATATAGAGAAAAACGTAAGCTAGAAACCCTTGATTTGGATGTGAGGGATCATTATATAGCTGCCCAGGTAGAACAGCAACACAAACACATCCAGTCACAGGCAGCCAGTAGCAGTTCTGTAACTTCTCCCATTAAAATGAAAATTCCAATCACAAATACTGAAAAACCTGACAAACACATGGCAGATAAAAAGGAAAAGAGTGGATCACTAAAGTTACGGATTCCAATACCACCCACTGATAAAAATGCCAGTAAGGAAGAACTGAAAATGAAAATAAAAGTTTCTTCCTCCGAAAGACACAGCTCTTCTGATGAAGGCAGCGGGAAGAGCAAGCATTCAAGCCCACACATTAGCAGAGACCACAAGGAGAAGCATAAGGAGCATCCTGTAAACCGCCATCACCCTAGCAGTCACAAGCATTCCCACTCACACAGTGGCAGCAGCAGTGGTGGCAGTAAACATAGTGCTGATGGAATAGCACCCACTGTTCTGAGGAGTCCTGTTGGCCTGAGCAGTGATGGCATTTCCTCTAGTTCCAGCTCTTCAAGAAAGAAGCTGCATATCAATGATGCATCTCACAACCATCACTCCAAAATGAGCAAAAGTTCCAAAAGTTCAGGTAGTTCATCTAGTTCTTCCTCCTCTGTTAAGCAGTATATATCCTCTCACAACTCTGTTTTTAACCATCCCTTACCCCCTCCTCCCCCTGTCACATACCAGGTGGGCTACGGACATCTCAGCACCCTCGTGAAACTGGACAAGAAGCCAGTGGAGACCAACGGTCCTGATGTCAATCACGAGTACAGTACAAACAGCCAGCATATGGACTACAAAGACACATTCGACATGCTGGACTCGCTGTTAAGTGCCCAAGGAATGAACATGTAATCATTTGTTTAGGTCAATTTTTTCCTTTACTTTTTTTATTTAAAAATTTGTTAGAATGGAAAACTTCTTCTGATCTAGCAGTGGTAACACCCACTATTGCTGCCACTGCTTCAATATTTGTAAGTGCTGCTTTATTCTTCATTCTGAAAAGAAGAGAATTATAGTAAACAAGTCTTTATCTCCACATATGATAGTGTTATAAATACTGTAAAAGCATGGAAGGTGCAAAACTCAGTATTTCTACAATTGCAGCTAAGAACATTAGAAGGAATGGCTGGCTGCTTCTAGGAATATAAGATGCCTCAAGCATTTGTTATTTATAATTTGAATACTGTAGCTATTTTGTTGCTTGGCTTTTGAATGAGTGTAAATTGTTTTCTTTCGTGTATTTATATTTGTATGTATGATTTGCATGTTTCAATGACAAAGGGATAAAACAGTATACTGACAACTGTTTACAAGAAAGTGGAGAAAAATGTACATACATTTTTGTATGTTTAGATATTACCATAAATACTCAGGATTGGAGCTGCTTGTAAGTATAACAATATACAGAATAATTTTATTTTATCTCGTCAGAGTCCATCACTAATCTAAAAAGGTGGCACTTTTTCATGTTAACCTTAAACTCTAGGCCTTACTGGAAGCCACTGAAGGGGGACACTTCACTACCAGATGGGGATGCCGTGCCATAGATGGTCACTTATACTGGGAGGCACTGAATTTTTGCCTTCAAAGGTTCTGACCAGATTGGCTGTGCAAATAGCCCCTAATTTTCTGAAGGCTTGAAGAGGAAAAAATAAAGTTTACATACTCTTGATGTGAAGTGCATTTAAATGTTTGTTGGCTTGTTGCAGTACTATAAACACAGAACTGTTAATAATGGTTATGTAGATTACTGTGATTTGAAAACTAAATTCACAAAAACTTACATAGTAAAGAGTTAGTAAGTTTTTTTCTTAAAGAACTTTAACACTACATATTGTAACAGTAAGCAGGGATCGCTTTTCCTTTAGCAATCAGAATGACACCATATTCTTGAACATACACCTCCCCTGAAGTGTGTTTGTGTGTGATGCCATATTTCTTTTTCAGGTAAATACAGTCTTCCTTATAAAAATGAATTAAACCTATTACTCTCTCAGTTCTTTTATATTCTAACAATAAATAAAAAGATTGCTGACTGTGCATTGTACCTGTATTTGTAGCTTGTGACTGTTACCAGGAAGCGCTAACAGGGGGGGAAATGGTCAGCCTCCAGGTAGAATGGCTAATAAAGGTTTTACATTTGTTTGCACATTTTAGTATATTCATATTGAGGTCAAATTTGCACAGTTTTGTGACTTCTGAACAAACAATAGAATTTGACTTGTCAAAAATTGTTATCAGTAATAATGGCTCTTGTTTATCAGCTAATACTGAATTTACTCTGTGGTAAATCTTTGAGTTCTTGACTATCTTTGAGATGGGTTGAATTCAACTTCTGTTGAGCTGAAAACTGTCTTTTTCCTCTTTGTATATGAATTATTTTTGTTACAAAGCCACTGATATGTGCACAATTGTAATTTTACTCGTTGCAGTTGTAAATATTAGAGTTTAATCTTGTGCTCTACTTTTATTTAGCAATTACCTAATTTGCCAGTAACTTTATAATTTTTTAAAGATAATTGTTCATTATTTTGTCAATGTTTTTGAACTTAGGATACTAGGAGCCTCATTGGAGGGACTTTGCCTAGCTAGCATGTCCTAACATTTGTCCTTGTCTTGCATAACTTTAGTAATCTGTGTCATTACATGTAACTTTGTTACTCTGTATGACATTATTGTATCCATAAACATGGTAATTTTGATACAGTTATACTTTTACAGTGGTACAATAATCCAAGGACTAGTATAGAATTAAGCTAAGTGCAAGATGAGGGAGGGAAGGGTTTTGTTCTTGGTAATTTAGATGTGAAACTTCTAAGGAGCTATCATGTGAAACACATAGGTGGTTGTGCTACTGTGTAATTGGGGATGATACTACCAGGAATTTTAATAAGATTTTGTAAAGAATATCCAGAAAAGTAGTGAATTTATTTTCAGTATGACATAGAAAACAATGTGAATATTTAAGGTCTGTGACTATACTTAAACTTCACTAAGAATTTGCAGAATTGTTTTGAGATGTGGGAATAAAGGTAATTTTGTTGAATCTTTATTGGTGCTAATGATGGACAGTTAAAAAGGTAGCTAGTGTATATTGTTATGGGTCAGTACTTATTAGTACTTCCGAAATTAAATTTGAAATGCTATGTATTCACTTTTCACTCTGTAAATGTAATTCTTTACAATGACTTTATTTATTAAAGGGCAGCCAGTTGTAATTTTTCCAGGATTGTGTGAGCTATTCAAACTCTTTGACCTCTGATCAGGATATAAACTCCTAAAACCACATGGAAATAAATATGGAAATTCATATAAGTTTCATTTCCATTAAATGAAAACCCTTATAATTCATAACCATATTGTTTTAACCATCTCATTTGCATTGAATAATTCATCAGCCTGGTCCCAATAGGCTCAACCAAAGAAAAAGACTCCAATGAATGGACTTGATTACTGAGTCTTCTTGTAAGTAGCCATAAATAAACCAAAATAGTATCAAATTTAGGTATGAAATTCCACATGTGCAAAGTACTGTTAAGGTGATTCATTTTGATGAAATTTTTTAAATATTTGAAATATTAAAAAGCATTATCTTTAAACATCCTATAAAAGAGTGATTTGTTTTTTAGTTGTGTTTTCCCTAGATAGTAGATTTGTTAACCTGTATGCAGAAGCACATTACAAAGACTGGCTTTACTTCTACCTCTTTCAACTAACTTTCCAATTTTGAGCTGTGCCCCGTAAATATTTGCCTTAGCTACTTTAAAATAGGACATTTTTCAGGACCAAAGCGAAGGAGTGTTTTTCATAGAAACATTCTTGCAGATGTACTTTACAAAACTGGTGGTAAGACCTTTAAAGTGTCCTCATTACTTTTTTGTTTAACCATAGGTCCAGTTCTTGTTGCAGATTTTTAAATACTGAAAAGCCATGTGATCACTTCTAAGCTTATCTTGCAAAGCAATTACAAGTACATCTTGTTATTCTTCTGTGTATGCACATTCTCATAGTTGAAAAAAATTTCTACCATGACAACTAATTTCATGTGGAATGGCATGAGTGCTTGCATTACTTGGTACCAATAAATTATAATTACATAGGACACCTTATGGTTTTGCCCTGTCTTTAAAGAAATGGCTAGTTGAAGTCTATATCAGAGAAATTAAGTTTAAAATGTTTGTCAGTTAACTATTTTAAGCATGTATTTGGGTTATATTTGGAAATTGCTGATTTTTTATTTCTTTACCAGCCTTAGACATAAGTACTTACATGTGCTTGAATATTACATACTCTTAAGTATACTTGCTTTGTAAGTATACTTGCTTGGGTAAGCTGTTTTTAGGAGTTTACATTTACTATGGAAGTAAGTGAGACTTTTTGTTAAAATATGGTAAATATCTCCAGAAGAAAATTCTGTTATCAAAATACCTACCCATTCCCAAGTTTTACCTAGAGAAACAGTTGTTTCTTAGCTACTTCCATGCTTAAAATTGCTGTGATTTTTAAGATGTCTCTTCTGAGAAATTTTGAAAATTTAATACAAATAATTCTTGATTCAGCAGTCTAGTTCAGGAGGCCCTGGGACACAACAGAATTCACTAACTGCATCTATAAAAATAAAGGTACAAATACTTTTGGGAAACATGTCAATAACTGAACACAAGGATATGATCATTTTATGTACCCTTTTCTAATAGGCTGATTAGACAGGTGATTTTGCATGGGAAAAGCAGCACATTCTGTCCCTGTCCTAGGTTGCCAAGTTAGGATAAAAATGTGTTAATTTGAGAGTTCAAGTTCATAGGTACATTAATAACTGAAATTTGGTCACTATAATTTGACATGTAAGCAGATAAGTTTACTTGTTTCTAAGAAGTTTGTCCTGAAACATGTATCTTCACAATAAGGGTGATGATGTCAGTAGATCTGGAATGCATAAGTGTTTTAGGTTTGAGACCATCAATTCATTTTTTTTCATTCCACAGTGTCAACTTGGCACAACTAGCTTTTGCTTTAGTAATTTTTTTTTTCTGTTCTAATTTACCAGTGTCTGTTTTGCCTGACTTACAAACCTATACAGGTAAGTTGATAAGCAAGGTACATTGAAGGGTGTGTGGCTAGGAGTAATTCTGTTCTTAAAAAGATGTCTTAACTGGTTTGCTGTGGTTCATCTCTAAAGTAAATTCTGAGGGCTATCAAATACTATTTTTAAGATTTGGCAGAAGACTCACTGAATCTGTTTATAATAGTGGGTTGATTGGACTTGCCTGTTGCTGAATAATGAGTACATTCTTCTTTTTAAAGTGTTTGTTTTCCAAGTAGCTTTACTTGGTTTGAAAACCTTTACATGTGCTCACTTACTGTCAGGAGTAAGGGTTTCATTTTGGAATGTACTCAAAATCCCCAAGACCTGTGAATAGGATATTTACTAATAGAAAATCTGAAGAAGGAATATGTGTGTACGGCATGAATTAATTTAGTCATTGAACTTTAGCTCAGTACCTATACAAGGAATTACTAATAAAATTTGTTGACAAATTCAAGGCTCTAGAATGTCTTAACTTATTGATACAAATCAGAAATAACTCGGTTCCTAAGAGAAAAGGTCTCTAAGTGACTGAGTAATTACATTTATCATCAAGAATTGTGTGACCTTTGGGATCAAATGCCCACATTCCAATTTCAGCTAACCACTTAGTAACTGACAACATGGGTGAACTACTTAACTCTGCCTTAATTTTCTACCTTACAAAATTTAATAGTGGCTCTTCATAGGATTGGGAGGTTTAAGGCTTGGGTGATCTAGGAATGCTAGAATAGATGGCCTTGAAGACAAATTGGAATATATTTTGGATATTGGAGAGAATTATGAAAGGCCTGTTCAAATACCTTACACTTGAGTTTGTATTAAACGCTGCAAACTTACTGGTTTAAGTTCCTTTATATTCATTCTTTTTGAGATGTTTTTTTATAACCTCTTGTAGCAGCCCCACCTACCCCAACAAAAATAATTGCCAATTATTTGGAAGTGGAATTATCCACAAGAACAGCTAATCATAAATTGCTGTAATATTGTTCTCCCTTCAACCCCTTTTCTGCTACCAATTTTCCTACTTCTAACACTGAAAGAAAATGGAAGTCAACTGCAGTGATTAATAACAGAAAAGTTACTACTTCCTCTCATGCATTTTAAACCTAAATGTAAAGTATTTTGAAATCTCACTAAATGCTTATCTCCATCTTAGTTGGTAACACCTGTAAGGGCTTGTTTTACTAGCATATAATAAAGTGAGTTTTATTGTAAAAATGTTAACAAAGTCAGTGAAACCATTAACCTAATTGGTGATTGCATCAGTATTTCATTCATTTCCTCTTCCCCTAGTGTTTTCAGTATTGTGAGTGGAAAATAGTACATTTTTTTTTAACTTTAGTTCTCATATATGATATGTCTGCCCCCTTCCCCAATGGCACCCACTAAAACAATGCAGGACCTCACTTTTGAGTGACTTTGTTATAAAATTAAAGAGACAGTGTTATCTCAGTAAACATTTTTAAAAGCCTCATTAGACCTTAGTGTACATGCATATACCAAAGGTCAGTTTTCCTGTAGTTTTTTATTTAGGTCATTCTGTAAAGGCAACTATTTCGTATTTGAGTTCCACCATGATTTTTCACAAGTTTGAGAAATGGCAATAGAACAATCTCCAGGGCTTAATTCTTATTTCAACTTCTTACAATAAAATGCTATACATAGACACACTGATTACTGATGACAATATAGACTGCTTATACTGGCTACTTTGAAAGTTGACAGAATCATCTGAAAAGTTATTTTTTATGTATGTTTCTGTAATACATAGCAGTTCAGTACTCAAGTGCGGCAAGTGGGGGAGAAGACATGGCTTGGCAGGTGATAAGAGTATTTTGATTGCTCATTTAACAGATTGAGGTGTTGGAAGGCATAGGACAAGCAAGAAAAGAGGATATTGTTCACTTACCCTCCTACGATACTCCAGAGCTTTCTCTTTCCTATGGCAATGCTACTAATACAGCCACAGAAGGATGTCCACAGTGTGGGCTAAAGCCAAGGAGACATGTAAAGTTGGAAGTTTACTTGAGGCATTAAATTTCCTTTGGTTGTGCTTGGAGTCCAGAGCATACAGGGAGATTTGTGTCTAGTGAAAATCACTTAGGAATATGATTGAAAACTTGGAGCATTTTGCTTGAGAAATGTAAGTATCAAGGAGGCGGTAACTTGGTTTTTAAATGAAAGGCCTTTCATACCTTTAGTCAAAATCTTGAACTGGTGAATTTATCAGCACCTCTGGGGTTTTGCCTGACTCAGGTAAAACTTCATAATGTAACTGATAATGAATTACAAATCTGGGTAGCAGGAGGGAAAGGTTCTGAAGTCAGACAAATCTGGTGACAGTCCCTACTATCACCTACAGTTGGATAAACTTGAGAAAGTGATTTAGCTCTGAGTCCTGTTCATTAATAAAACAAAAATACTATCAACCAACCCAAACAACATTTAGAATTAAATGATGTGCTTTTTTCTATAAAGAACTTAATGTTAGCCCTACCAGCTCTCACCTGTCTGGAAGGAGCATAATTCCAAACAATCATGTCTCAAACACAATGATAAAGATAGAAAGAAAACTTGAGATCAAGGCTTGCCTACTGAAAATTTCATGTTTTGAAGGTTCTATTTACTATTCCAAAATTATATATCAGTGGAAGAAGTGTAGTCTTGTTAATACAAACATCAAGTGTCAATTACTGTGATTTCTATACATGATATTTGTCTTAACTCCTGACCTCTCCCCATGGAATTTAGCAGGCTTGAGTGAAAATATTTAACTAACCCAAATTCAGATATATATATTTAGACTTTGAAGAATGCTTAAGATATATTTTTGGAGTGCAGCTATGCTCACCACTATACCACCAATGCACCTTACATTTTTAAATTAAGCCCTACTTTTGCAAAACTTAACAAAATGGTATACTAGTAAAATAAAGGGACATAGTCACCCCTTAAACTCTTACCAAATAGTAACAAAAAGTGTACAATTTAGAGAGAAGGAAGAAAAGGAAACACAAAACTCATCTAAACATAATGGCCCAAATTAATCTTTTATCTCAGCAGGACTTTTCATGCCGATGTCTCAAAAACTTAAGCAGCTTGGTTTTGACAAAGCAAGCTTGTAATTGTTAAAATATACCTCTAATTTGTAGTTACACCATTTAAAACGATAGCAGCCAGTAAAAATCTGGACACAGCATAAAACAGTGTCAATAGAATTTAATAGTTGGGTAGAGTCGGCAGTAATAAAAATGTCTGAACATGCTTAGCCAATTTACAAGAACTTGTAATAATTCTGAAAACTTACCTAGTTTTGTGAGGTTTATCAGTGTTCTGAAATGAAAATGAAGAGTAACTTCAGCAGGATGTACTTTACTCAGGTGAAGTGAAAAAGGTGCCTGAATATTTATGAGTTGCGTAATAAGGGAGATGCAAATTAAAACCACGATGAGATACCACCTCACCCCAGTGAGAATGGCACATCTTCAAACAACTAGCAACAACAATTGTTGGCGAGGATGTGGAGCAAAAGGAACTCTCCTGCACTGCTGGTGGGAATGCAAACTAGTACAACCACTATGGAAAACTGTCTGGAGGTTCCTCAAGCTGCTAAACATGGAGCTTCCCTATGACCCAGCAATCCCACTCCTAGGTATCTATCCAAAAGACACAAAAACACTGATTGAAAAAGATACTTGTACCCCCATGTTTACTGCTGCTTTATTTACAATTGGAAAAACATGGAAGCAGCCCAAATGCCCAAAAGTAGATGACTGGATTAGAAAGATGTAGTACATATATACAATGGAATATTACTCAGCAACCAAAAAAGAAAAACATGTCTTTTGCAGCAACTTGGATGGAGCTGGAAAAGATCATGCTTAATGAGATAAGCCAGAAAGAGAAAGAAAATACCGGATGGTTTCACTCATAGCAGGAGTATAATGGACCAGGCGAGAAAATAACAAAAATAATGAACAACCATATACCAGAGACATTCTGTGGGGGCGGAGTGGGGAATGGAATCAAAAACGGGGGGTGGGGGGGAAGGGAGGGAAATGCACGCGACTAGGGTGGTGGCACAGGGGTGATTTGGTGATGGGAAACCCGCGGGATTACAATTGAGATGGAAAAAAAAAATGTGCAAAATGATGTAAAAATATACTTTGTAATAAAAAAAAGAATATTTATGAGTTGATACACTCCCCTTACTAACTTTAATCCCACCAGCTAGCTTAAGTTTAGCTAGTTATAGGTATAATGTCTTAACTGCAAATAAGACCTCAGATCATATTACCGGTTACATAGGAAGCAGCCTGATATTTATTGAGTCACCCTGAATACCCCAGTTTCTGTAGATGGAGACTACTGGGTAGTTCAGGCACTTAGCTTAATGTCAAATCACTTAGCTCATCAGTAAACCTCGATGCTCTTAATCTGCCAGGCAAGATTGCCATAAATGTAATTGGAATCCAACATCTCTACTGTTTTAAACTTTTCTTACTTAGTCTCCATTCTCCTTCACAATATCTTTTTTCACCATGTAAAAAAAAAAAAAAACAGTTTCCATGTTTTTATAATTTAATGACATAATAGGCCAAAAATAAGCAATTGTATAAACCAATAGAGAATGCATAATCAAAACAGTAAACACTGAAATAGGTTTTTTGTTGTTAAGAATTTTATTCTCATATACATGGGTTGAAATGTCTGATGTTTGAGAAGGCTAATAACTAAAGTTTTTCAGTTCGTGGCACTGCAGGATCTGGTTGAATTGGGTTAGATTCACTTTCCTGTAGGAAAATAAAGATCCCTTAACCATCATTCCCACAATGAAGCAATAATGGAGTATCTATAATGGAACTGAATAGAAAGTCTTGATGTATGTTCAGTGACTTCTCTTCAAGAAGGGGTGTTTTAGGAGCTGAACAGCAGAAGGTCGTTCATGCTGATCCCTAAGGGAAAAACACATTAGAAGCAGCACTCAATAATGTGCCTGCCAACTTGATCTACTCAATTCAAAACACCAACTTTAAAGATGGAAGTACATCAAACAAGTTTGAGTTCAGACCCAGTTTTTAGCTCCGCGATTTTAGGCAAATGACTCTTCAGTAAATAGGAATAATCGTACCTCACTTGTTGAGAGAATTAAATAAAGTAGATGAAGCTTTTAAACAGTGACTCACAATAATTACTCAAAAAGAAGTATGTTTTTTATGATTAAAAACCAGGCCCTTCTTTTCTAGTGTACTTCAGTTTGGGTGTAATTTATACACAGTAAAATTCATCTTGTTGGGTGTACATTAAATACATTTTTAATTGACGTTAAATTTTTCAAATTTAGAAGTCCTGGAATTCAGAGTTGAAAACCCTTCAAGGAGTAGACTTTTAAATGTGCTTTGGCAATTAACTACAGTAACCCCTAGTGAAATTATTGGATGAACAAAAAGTAGACACACAGTTGGTCGATAATTATCTGCAATGACTTATTCTCAAAGCATTCTTAGGTTAAATTGGCCATCTTTTGACAATTTTGGAAATAAATGACCAAGAATAACCCAGATGAAGCAGAAATAAAATACTTTCAAAAAAGTGACAATAAACTACTTCAAAATTAAAACCTTTTCCGAATGCTCTTTCTCCTGCTTTCAAAATATGCAGAAATTTCTCTTCATATGAATATCCTTTCATTAACCTATCATTTCTAGCTGCCTTGCTATATATCTCATCCTGCCAGATTTCTCTAACATAGCCAAATCTAGGTACTTTCACTATCTTTAATCCTTAACTATTTGGCCACTCCTCTCTGCAGAAAATATCCTATCAAAATTAACCGTGACCACATAATGAGTTTATCATGCAGCTTTGAATATACTCACCACCTCTTTCCTGAAATAATCTTGGGTTAGACTTAGAATTTCTCTTGATTCTTCTCCCACCTTGGGACAAATTGTCTTTTCTCCCTCATTTCTGTCCTCCCTCCTTTCCTTGTTAAATATTAGACTTGAAGCTATGGGTCTATAATCTTCTCCAGTAAGCATTTGCAAGAACATATTCTTCAGTCCTCTAAGCTTCAGACAATAGCAACTTCATGATTTTCAAATGTGTATCTCCAGTCTTAATTGTTTTCCTGGGTTCTAATATCCTTCAAACGTTTCTTTAGACCTTTTTCAAATTCTTCCCTGTTTCCCATCCACAGTTTTGTAATTTCTTGTATTATTGAAGAAAATCACAAAACCCCATTCATCCTCCATAATGAAGGAAATCCTGATTCAACTTCCTCTGAGATATTCTGAAATCCTCTTCATAGTCAGACCTCTTCCTGCATCATCAGAGTTCAAGCTCTGGATTCACAAATTGCCTTCCAATCTCAAGCATCTTCCATTCAAGGTCATTCAGATCCTAAAGATCTTTTTGTTTGATGGCATTTACTCCCCTAAATCAATTGTGGTCCCCAGTTCACTTCCTATTGCAATGAAGCTAAACTACTGGAAATTTAAGAGCTGCCTAGTACCCACCTTACTGCTTCCCTATTTCTGTTTTGTCCTTGTTCTTGGTCTGTACCTGACAGTCTCTACTAAATCTTGAGTGCTTTACCCCCTTCTGACTATCCATACCTCCAAGGAGTATTGTTATAGACATCATGTAACATTCTAGAGAACATAGTGCCTTTGCTATATAGCATTTCAAGAGGTTAAGCTTGTATAGACACTAGTTAGGTAAGGTGTATCAGTATTCTCCCAAATCATTATTAACTATGGAGTCCCAATTTTGTATTTCATATTAGTAATTGTTTCATATTAGTATTTCATACTAAACAATTTGTATATACCATTTCACAACTTTCACAAACAACCCTATTCATTATTAGTGATATGAATTGTTTATAAATCACTATCTAAAACGAAAGCCATAAAAAATATATATACACTTTCTCCTTAAACTTCTCTGTAAAAATGTGTGCAATGTCAACTTGAAAGTAAGAATTAGCAAGTAGATTTTGTGAATAAATAATAGCTAATTTATAAACAAAACAGTCACAGTAGTTTTGAGAGCTATCTCCAAAACTAGTACTGATTCATATAGTATTCTTAACACTTTTATGCCCTACTTGTAAAGATTTGAGGGTCAGGCAGAGGCAGTGTTGCATCTGGGGTTCTGCTTACAAAATCTATGTTGAAAAATCTATCTCTGGTATCTCTTCATCTAAGGGTGCCTAGGACTGCACTCCTGGACAATGTGTTCCTGCTCTAGTTTAAGTGGTTCCCTGAAGTTAGCCAGTGGACTAAACAAGTTCTAAGAGAGGTTGACACATTGTTGGTGGAGTGGGACAGCTGTGGGTTCTGAGATTCATTAAGAAAGAAAAAGTGAGAGTTGTCATACATGCTAGATGAAGTGTGGGACACTAGAATTTTTCATCTAAGAATAACAAAACCTACCTCCTTGAAAGGCAGGAAACTATATTTTGACCTCAGGTCTTCATTCTTTTATATGCAATTAAATACTGAGTTTCACTAGGTGGGTACATGTTAGGCTGTTCTGCATCACCCTAGAGGAGAGGTGGGTGGGCTTTAGCACCCCATCCTCTCATTAGCTCTTCTCCCCACCTCCACACACTTTAACTGGAGCCATGCTTTTATGTTTTATTCTTTGAATTAAGATTTCATATGAGTAAGAATGTCTGGCTGAGAAAAGTTTGAGAACAAATCCAGGGTGGGTAATTTCTAAAGTCCCTTACAGTTCTAACATTTTACACAGAATTTTATTTCATAGATACTAGGGAGTCTAAGGATAGGAGAAAACAAGCAACTTTCTAAAATTTTTCTACTTCCCCAGGCACTACCTTGCTTGATGCTCCAAATGCTACAGCTATAGATTTGTTCCTTTAGCTCAAAATATTTCCCCTTACTTTATATGCAAATATTTCTGGGAGAACCAATACATTAAATCTGTCAGCTATCTATCCCTCAATATGAATGAATTTCTCTCATGCCTTCCTGAAAGCTGGTTTAAGGAAGGAAATGACAACATTGATTCTCTGGGAAGGAAGCCAAGCTTAAAAGAGGGAGACATGGGGCCCTCCCTGGTGGCGCAGCGGGTTAAAGCACAGCACTAAGAAGCTTAAGCCAACTCCTCATGAGTTCGATCCCCGCCTGCCTGGGAGGAGATCCACATGGCGTGGCAG